ATTTTTTGCTGAAATCCAAAAATGCATTTTATTGTAAAATGTGCGCCGTAGTTCGGAGAAATTCTATATCATCCTCTGTGCTCAGCTTTAAATGCTTTCAATTTTTCCGACCCCTAAAATTACTGTATACATGTTTTGTTTGGTCCATTCTGGAGTATGCAGTGTTTATTTGGAGGCCATATTGTATTTCGTCAATTAACAGGATCGAGCGTGTTCAAAAGATTTTATTAAATTTGCTCTCCGCTCCCTAAAGTTTGTTGATGTAATGTAATTAATGGTGGTATTGACTGTTCCTTTTTATTAAGGAAAATTAACTTAAATATTCCTCAGCGTTGGCATAGATCTATTTCCCTACTTTATTATAGAAAGGAAAGTACTGAATTTGTTGAATATGCTCCCTTTAAGCTTGCTATGCGTTAATTTAACTTGATTTCCGATAAAGTTGTTCTTGATTTTTCTCACTTAATACCTTCGATTCTGTGTTTAAGTTAATTAAAATTTTTATCCTAATTTTCTATTAGTCTGTAAGAATTAATGTTCATACACAGAGCAAAATGGCCACCTAAAATGCCCTGTAAATTAGAACAAAGTTTAGAAGATTTCTCTTAGTTTCTCTCCAATAAGACGCCCATTTTTTTATTACTGGATATCTCCTTTTAGTAAAAAAGTGAAGATAAAACGTTAAACTAAGGTGAACACCTTTTCAATATAATTTAGGAGATGACGCGTAGAATTTAAATGAAATCCTTTTCAGTGAAATGTAATAGATTGCCTATAAAACTAAGGTGAAAATCTTTTCAATATATTAAGAAGGTGACCCTTAGAATTAAGAGGAAACGCTTCTTAATAAAATCAAGTAGATAACATGTAAAACTAAGCAGAAACTCTCCTTAACATAAATAAGATGGGAGTCTTAATTATTATTGGAACATCATCTTAATTTTAACAAGCCGATGATCTTATCAATTTGATATTATTATTATTATTTTTTTTATTTATTTTTTTATTCAAGTTAAATTTACAATCTGTCTTAATATTAATAGACAATAAGTAAATGTGCTGTTAAGGTACAAACAAATTGTGAGTGATACTTCATTAAGTAACCCTCTGTTTAGTGACAGTATAATAGAAACAAAAGTCCAAACTACATACATACTAATTTACATAATTATTTGCTATTTTCTTTATGTT